AAATTATTCTAAAAGTACATGTTGAACATTCCTAACTTGATAATCTGAATTTTGAAGTGCTCCAAAATCCCAAACTTTTTGAGCATTGTTATGATACCACAAATGGAATATCCCACACATAAGTACTTACCACAAACTTTGTTTCATGCCCCAAACTATTTTAAATATTGTATAAAATTACCTTCAGGCTATAAGGTGTATATGTAACAAAATGAATTTCCTGTTAGACTTGGATTCCATCGCCAAGATATCTCATTATATATATGCAAATATTCCAAAATCAGAAAAACTCCAAAATCTAAAACACTTTCACTATTAAGCATTTTGGGTCATGGATACTGAATGTGTATCTTTAATTTATTGCTCTACTTTGTTAAAAACTGGGGAAAATAGTAATTCTACAGATGAATAATGATTGCTAATGATGAGCAAATACTTCCGATGACCTGGGAATTAGTCTAAGCACTTCACGTATATCAACCTTGTTTAATCTTTATAATAAATTAGTTAGTACTATCATTATCCCCAATTTATAGATGATGGAAACAAGCACAGAGAGTTAGCCTGCTCAAGGTTACATTCCTTTTAGTGGTAGAGACTCTATCTGGCTTTTATCATCTGGCTTTTAACTGCTACACTATACCAATGCATTATAGGTATAGTTTATACACACACTAAAGAAGACATAAAACTCCAGTCAGTGGGCTCATAAAAGCCTTAGACCTTGATCAAAATATTAGGAATTAAATGTTCAATCACAGGTTTTAGGTTTCAAAAATTTAAAGTTTGCAAATTATCTTTCTTAAAATGATTCCCTTGCTTTAACTAATTTTTCAATTAAACTCCAGTTAAATGACATCCACTAGAAGGCCTCACTTTCTACAAAGGAGCAGGTAAAAGGTGATGATCTTAAATACCATACTGGGAGTTGGGATCTGTGTAGCACTGGAATCAAGAGTTACACACACTTGAGGATCAGGGCATGATTTAGTTGATGTTTTGGAGGGTTAATCTGGCAGCACAGCTTGGATTATTTCAGTGGGAATGGAGATGATAAAACACAAAGAAAATGGGAGAACTCACTTGGGTAATATACAAGTTTCTGAAATCAGTGTATCAGGCGGTTTGGTTATTAGGCTTAAGGTTTTGTTGGCCAAAGGACATAGTCTCTAAGACAATATATTGTCATTCATTCATTCATACAACCAACACCCACTGAGCACCAACTGTGCACTAGTGATATAAGGGTGAACAAACAGACACAGTTCCTGCCTTTGTAGAGCTTATGTTCTGGTGGGTGATACAAAGAAATAATAAATGAGGGCATAAATAATGAACTGTCATTGTAATGTGCTACCAAAGTATACAGAATACTGTAAGAACATACCATTATGAATCTAATCTAGTTTATTTTTTATTTTTATAAGTTGGGGAGCACTCGGGTGTTTAAACACAAAACAATAAAAATGAGGATCTTGAATATTATCTATACACTTTTTATTAATCCATGTGGCCACCACAATAACCCAGTAAAAGTGATTTTACCTCTAGTTAACTGGTTGACTCAATGTTACTCAATGTTACATCTGGTTAACTGATTGACTCAATGTTACTCAATGTTACATAATCCTGTAATGTATTTGCTGAGTGCCTACTATGTAGTGGGCTTTGTTCTAGGAGTGGGGACATAAAGATATGAACAAGACAGATCAGGTCCTTGTCCTGATGGACTTTGAATACATCACTTTCATTCCCACCTCTGCTTCTAAGACAATTAAATACATTCCACTCAGATGAGGATTCATCCTATTTCTTGTAGTAATTGTAAATTCCCAGGGTTACAAATTAGTTAATGTCATACCTAAGGACTTAAGATATTGTGCATAAAACACTTTCAGTAGTGCCTCTCAGACAGCAGATGCTCAGTAAATGTTGACTTTCATTAGAATTGTGTTATTATTATAATGCTAAATCTCATGTCCTTTCTGGTACACTGGAGTTCATCTCTTGAATTCTATAAGCGCTTATTTTAAGTCTATCACAGAATTGATATACTACTTCATGTGAATGATTGAGATCAGTGAGGAAAAACCACTTTAATATTGTCTAATACCTCTCGTAATGCTTAGGATCCCCGTGAACTTAGCCTGTTGTTTTCATATTGAAAAATCGAATAACAATACTTATTCAGCTGTTGTCAGCGCAAGTGGGCAGCAGAAGAGTGGGGTATCAATGTTAGCCACAAATCATAACTGTTTGTATTACTCTGAAAAAGAAGGGTTTATGGTTTATGCATGCTTCCAAATGGATGTGAAAGACTAAATAATGAGATTTTTTTTTCGCTATCATATTAAAAAATTAACAGGCACATTTAGATCACTGAAGAGAGAAATTAGGAAAAGTTTATTTCTTTTTGCTCAATTAAAAGTGTTTTCAATGGCATATTTAAAATTATGTGAGTATTCTTCCCTATTAGGAATGCAGAAAAAAAATGGGTAGGGAGACTAATTGGGAACTTTTGTGAAATCATAAATTAAGCAAAGTACCTAGAATTCACTTAGAATTTGAACATGTGTGAGCAATGAGGTGGATTCTTAGAGCAGAGATTCACAGGTAAAACAGGCTTATGGCATGGGAGATGTGTTCCATTAGACAACTATATTGTCCCCTTGATGAGTACATGCATATGTATACATAGATGCATATATAAAAATAGAATTCTTCGTTACGTTAAGCAGATGTACAAGGATAATTATTAGCATGGGCTATTTAACTCACTTTTAAAATGTGCAAAACATTATTGTAGGGTTGGGTCTTGATTTGTTTCCCATGAAACTTTTGGTAGTTTAGGGGCCAAATTAACGAAAGACATCTCATTCTAGTGATTGAGACGCAAAAGTTGGAAAAACGGGCCACTAAGTCAAGTAGCGTTCTCAGAGCCTCACCTCGTCCACTACGAGCATCCAAAGCAAGGGCCTCCCTGCGTGACTTGTGCCAAGGGACAGGAGAAACGGAGTCTGAAAGGGTCCAGAAAGGGGTTTTGTTAACACGGAGTTGCTCAGCGCACTTCATAAACATTCTTCTGGCTGAGCGTTCTAAGCTGGCGCAGGGTTGGTTCCCTCTTCTCTTCCTTTGCCAAGATGGCGGCTCCAGAATCCTCTAGAGGCGGCCCCCATAGATCGCCCCTGGGTAAGAGGCTTGCTGGAGACCCACTCCTTTCCTTTCACACCAGACCACGCACAGAGCACCGTTTATCCTTCAGAATCGAGGAAAGACGGCTTAGGCTACCCGCGATCGCGAACCTTTGCCAAGATGGTGGCAGCAAGGCCGGGCTGGCGTCACTGTCCCCTACCAAGATGGCGGCGAGCGGCTTCCGGGACGCGCTTCCCCAATCGCCTGAAAGATGTCAGAGCAGAGGCGGCCGCCGTCAGTCCGAGCGCGGCGGGCGGAGAGACAGCGGCTGCGGCCGAGCGCGGGAGCGGGACTAGGTGGAGCTTCGGCAGCCCCCGCCCCCGTCAGGAGCTGGCAAGCGCTGTCACCTGTGGGGGCGCAAAAGTTACCTCCCCAAACCCCAAAGCCACACGGCACAAGCTTTCCCCGAGTCACAAAAATCATAATCTGTGCCGCAGAAGGTAGGAAGCTCGGTCCCGGCATCGCCCAAGCCTTCCCGACGCGGCGAGCTGGGCAAGGGAGCTGGGGCACTCCGCGCCCCACGGCCCTCTCCTCTCTCGGGACGGGACACGTGTTTCCTTAGCTCGTAGCAGGAACAGCTGGAGGGAGTCGAACGCTGGCATTTAAAAGCTGCGTGTGTTCTGTTTTATTTGCAGGGTTAGGGGTCCCATGAACGCGATAGAGAGCAACGCCAGAGTCGAGGGCAGCAAATGTCAAGAGTCGGGGGTGGGGCCTGCCGCGAGAACTTGGACGCGGGCCGCGGCTGGGGTGGAAGGAGAGGTCAGGAGTCTGGGAAGGGGGGCGTATCGTACTTCGCCAGCCACTTACTACTGCGCCGGCAACTTGCTTTTAGGCCTCCCGCCCCCTGCTTTCCTTAATCATAATTTTTTAAAAAGTGCAAAGAAATCCAGCCTGCCGGAGGTTTTGCATTTGGCGAGCAACTTCCTTCGAGTGTGAGCGCACTGGGCGGGAGGGGTGGGGGTTGAACTTGGCAGGCGGCGCCTCCTTCTGCCGCCGCCGCCTCGCAGACTCGGGGAAGAGGGTGGGGGACGGTCGGGGCGCGGGGGAGGGTGGGTTCTGCTTTGCAACTTCTCTCCCCGTGCGAGAGCGCCGCGGCAGCGGCTGAAGACCCGGCAGCCCAGACGATGCGGGGGTGGGGGACCTGCCGGCACGCGACTCCCGCCGGGCGCAGAGTACGTATGCGCCGACCCCCGCTCTCCCGTCCCCTCCTCTAAGCCTCCCCGGAGGGCGTGTCTGGCCGCCCGGCCCCGAGCGCGGCCGAGACGCTGCGGCACCCTTTCGGTGCGAACCTGTAGTCCCTTTCGAAGTGACACACTTCACGCAACTCGGGGCGGGGGCGCCGACCACTGCGCAGCTCTGCCGCGGGCGGTGCCCCGGCTCCTCCGGCTCTCCCGTTGTCACCCGCAGGGGCGCTGGCCGCGGAGGGACAGCGAGTTCCCGAGTGGGTTCGGAGCCGCGGAGCTGGGCGGGGGCGGGAGGGAGGTAGCGAGAAGAGAAACTGGAGAAAGTCGGTGGCCCTCCTGACGCAGCCCCAGAGAGACCAGGTCGGCCCCCGCCACCGCCTCCCTGTCTTATTTCTTGGGGAGTTGGGGGTGGGGGCGGCCATGCCGGGGGCCGCGGGCGTTCAGGCGCCGTCGGGGCCGGGGTGGCCGGGTCCCCGCAGAGGGCGTGGGGGCGGGGGCGGGGGCGCGGGCGCCCCTGCAGTTGCCAAGCGTCGCCAACAGGTTGCACCGTTCCCCGCGGCCGCCGCGCGGCCCCTCGGGCGGGGAGCGGCCGGGGGTGGAGTGGGAGCGCGTGTGTGCGAGTGTGTGCGCGCCGTGGCGCCGCCTCCACCCGCTCCCCGCTCGGTCCCGCTCGCTCGCCCAGGCCAGGCGGCCCTTTCGCGTGTCCGCGCTCCCTCCCCTCCGCCGCCGCCGCCGCCTCCTCCATTTTGCGAGCTCGTGTCTGTGACTGGAGCCCTAGTCACCGCCCGCCCGTCGGGGACAGAGTCAGTGGGTGGAAGAAGACGCCGCAGCCGGAGCGGCCGAAGCAGCTGGGCGCCGGGACGGGGCACGCACGCCCGGAAGCCAGGACCCGGGAAGCCCGGCGCGGGGCGGAGGGCTGGCTTGTCAGCTGGGCAATGGGAGACTTTCTTAAATAGGGGCTCTTTTCCCCCACCCATGGAGAAGGGGGCGGCTGTTTACTTCCTTTTTTTTAGAAAAAAAAAATTTCCCTCCTGCTCCTCCTGCGTTCACACGCTAAGTTGTTTATCTCGGCTGCGGCGGGAGCTGCGGACGGTGGCGGGCGAGCGGCGCCTTTGCCAGAGGTAAGGGGCGAGGCGGAGAGGAGAGGGGGCCGGGGTGGGTTGGCGCTTGCTCTCCCGAGGTGCCGGAGGGACCGGAGACGACTCGGGGGCCGCCGCGGGAGCCTGCAAACTTTTATTAGCCTCGGGGAGTGGGGGTGGGGGGCTGGCGAGGGCCGTGCGATGGTGACGAAAGGGCAGCGCGCGGGTGACAGCACTGGCCTCTTCCTCTCCCTCTGCCGCCGTCCCCCGGCCGGGCCGAGGGGGAGGAACATGAGCTCGGACGGCTAGCGGAGCCTTGTCCAACTGCGAACTGCGAACTGCTGGGTGTTTCCAGCCTCCCGTTCCCCGGCGGGAATCCTGGCCTCTCTTCTCCCCCCAAAACCCCTCTTTCCCTCCAAAGGGGCCGCCCGACACCCGTTTTTGTGGTGAACGCTAAGCCGTGTCTGAATTGTACTGGCCCGAATATTTGCACTCCACCCTGGCGCGCCCGAGCGCGAGGCCCGGGCGCGCCTGGCTTGGGGAGGGCTTGTGGGGCGCTTGAGGGTGCACGGGGGGCTGACAGCCTGCAACTTGGAGACTCCGGCCGGGGCTGGTGTTATTTGGTAGAAGTGGGCGTGTCGGAGAGAGAACTCAACAGGTCTGGGCATATTTCTCTTTTAACCTCGCACTTTTTTTCTACACCCGCCCCCCCCACCCCCCGCCCCCCGTCCCCCGCCAGCCCCGGGAGGGCTCGTTCTTTAGCATTTGTTGTTAATTCGCTGCTGAGGTTTTTAAGTGGCCCCTTTTAGAAAAAGACCCTATCTAACCATAATAGTTTTCTGCTGCGATTTTTGACAAGCGCTAGTTTGACGTTTGGGGTTGCAGACTTGGTAATTGCAACCTTGTAATACCACTTAAGACCCTTTGGCATGGTTCATTAGGGCCGATTAATGTGGCAGAGTTATTTGCAACTTAAACTGGGGGATAATGTCGCTTGAGGGAGCGTTTTCGTTTAGTAAGTATTGTTTTGGTTTCGGGTTTGAAGGCAGCTGTCAAAAAAGCGGCGTGGAAATACATTGGGCTCCATTTGATACCTCGTGTTTAGAGATCGTAATCAGATAAACAGCAGAGGGGTGGGGAGATAAGCAGTTTGCCCTCAAGATTTATAGTGCAAGTCCACACCCCTCTTTCCACCTTCATCATCTCACTTTTCAGTGAGGGCCAGTGACATGCTGCTGCCTAACGTCATCGTATAGAAAGAGTTTCCTTTTATTGGACGGGATTTGACTATATGTCCCGAATGGGTTTCTCAGTATTACCCCATCTCGTAAAACACCCCGATTACCAATATACTAACAATCTTACTCTCTTGCGAATAGACTGAGAATTGGCATAGGTGAAGGTTTGGATAGGTGAAGACAGAAAATTATTTTGAACATTTTACTGGATACCGTTGTACCTGAATTTATATGAATGTGATTTTACGGTTCTGTGTTTTCTCATTTTCCAGTACCTTGATATTTATTTGGAAAGTAAAGAACTTAGAGATACAATAGCATTTCACATTGAGGGTCTGAAGCAATTTCAGTAAATGTAGCTTAATCTAGATGTTATTGTGAGTTATGATAAAGGTCAGCTATATTTAAGTTATTTAAGTAAGCTAACAAACAATGTACTGAGAAGCTACTACAGCTTCTCTTCAGCTCTTTAAAATCTAAATTTTAGTTGGCCTATATGAAGTGTATCTCATTTCATATACCCAAAATTTGGAGATAAGCACATCCAGTCAGAAGCATGGGTTTTAAAAAAAGAGCGTTTCCCCAGCTTCTTGGAAGATAAGCATATCAGCATTGTTTATTTTTCAAAGAAAATGCGCATGGTTCACCAGTTGGTTGTACTCAAAGGGCTAGATGTGTAACTAGCTGGTAGGAGGGAAATTTGGAAGTAATTAGGGATTGAGAATTCTAGCATAGTATTTATCAAATGTTATATGTATTGGTTCTCAGAAAAGCAAACAGCCTTGATTGAAAAGAGGTAGGAATTTTAATGATCACACTTCTTTTTTTTGAAATTAAATACTTTGACATCATCTTGAACCTTTAGAATAATCAGGTGTAATGAATTATAATGTGTGTGATTAACAAAGTTACACGTTCAGTGAGTGGCAGGATGAATAGCCAAGCTTAGTGCAATACAGTTTTGCCCATAGCTGTGCAAATGGACTGCATTGTACTTTTAAATGCGGCAAGCTGAATGGGAGCAGGGGAGATGGCTTTTTATTCTGAAAGATAGAAACTACTCTTCTGGTAACAAAGAATTTGATTCCGAATTAACTAAAAGGTTCATTTAACGGGCTGTCTCTTACTAATCGGATCAGGAAGATAACGTGACTTTAGAGCTTATGATGTTTTCCTTTTTCTTTCTTTCTTTCTTTCTTTCTTTTTTTTTTTTTTTTTTGTAGTTGATATTCACTGATGGACTCCAAAGAATCATTAACTCCTGGTAAAGAAGAAAATCCGAGTAGTGTGCTTACTCAGGAGAGGGGAAATGTGATGGACTTCTGTAAAATCCTAAGGGGAGGAGCTACTCTGAAGGTTTCTGTATCTTCAACCTCACTGGCTGCTGCATCTCAGTCAGACTCCAAGCAGCAAAGACTTTTGGTTGATTTTCCGAAAGGCTCAGTAAGCAATGCGCAACAGCCAGATCTGTCCAAAGCAGTTTCACTCTCGATGGGACTCTATATGGGAGAAACAGAAACAAAAGTAATGGGAAATGACCTGGGATTCCCACAGCAGGGCCAAATCAGCCTCTCCTCAGGGGAAACAGACTTACAGCTTCTGGAAGAAAGCATTGCAAACCTCAATAGGTCGACCAGTGTTCCAGAGAACCCCAAGAGTTCAGCATCCTCTTCCGTGTCTGCTGCCCCCAAAGAGAAGGAGTTTCCAAAAACTCATTCTGATGTGTCTTCAGAACAGCAAAATTTGAAGGGCCAGACTGGCTCCAACGGTGGCAATGTGAAATTGTATACCGCAGACCAAAGCACCTTTGACATTTTGCAGGATTTGGAGTTTTCTTCTGGGTCCCCAGGTAAAGAGACGAATCAGAGTCCTTGGAAATCAGACCTGTTGATAGATGAAAACTGTTTGCTTTCTCCTCTGGCGGGAGAAGAGGATTCATTCCTTTTGGAAGGAAACTCGAATGAGGACTGCAAGCCTCTCATTTTACCGGACACTAAACCTAAAATTAAGGATAATGGAGATCTGGTTTTGTCAAGCTCCAGTAATGTAACACTGCCCCAAGTGAAAACAGAAAAAGAAGATTTCATCGAACTCTGTACCCCTGGGGTAATTAAGCAAGAGAAACTGAGCACAGTTTACTGTCAGGCAAGCTTTCCTGGAGCAAATATAATTGGTAATAAAATGTCTGCCATTTCTATTCATGGTGTGAGTACCTCTGGAGGACAGATGTACCACTATGACATGAATACAGCATCCCTTTCTCAACAGCAGGATCAGAAGCCTATTTTTAATGTCATTCCACCAATTCCTGTTGGTTCCGAAAATTGGAATAGGTGCCAAGGGTCTGGAGACGACAACTTGACTTCCTTGGGGACTCTGAACTTCCCTGGTCGAACAGTTTTTTCTAATGGCTATTCAAGGTAAGATTAGTGCTTTTCTGTTTCTTAAGACTGGCACATTTAACATAGATTAATAGATTTAAATCTTCATTTATTTGTATGTGTTCTCTAAAGATTCATGTGCTTTTTAATATGAGTAAGTTTAAGTGGTCTTTTGAAAGCAGGAAGGGCAAACAACCTAAGTGACTTATCGGTATGTAACCATTTCAGGTTTTTTCCATAAAGAGGGGTAGTCAGTATCCCATTGGCCAGTGGTGAGGATTTTATTTTAAATTTTTAAAATACTGCTCAGTAACAGGTATCTTAAGGAAAAATTACACAAATTCAGGAGAGTATAATGTCTCGTAAAAATCATACTGTTTTGTGCATGTTCGTTCAGCTGTTTTAGGACATGTTCTTGTATTACAATAAAAGATATCCTTGATTCTATAATCAGAAGTTTTACCGCCTTATTTGTAAATTTGTTATGTTAGCGTGAGATTAAAGGGATAAAAGCAGAAGTACTAACAAAAAGCCCTATTCTTCAAACTGAATCTTCTGTTAAAGAATTTGAGTTTTGAAATTGCTAAAGCAATGCAGTGAGCAGTGTACCGGACCATACTGTTAGACACAGGTCTTGCTCACAGGGTTCTTGACCTAAAGTAGACAAGTTACGTCTGCCGATCAATCTCTTGAAGAGAGGAATTGGTGCCAACACGGTGCAAAACAAAATTTTACTTTCAAATGTTCCTGCAAGTTCTCAGGTAGATAACTGATGGCCAAAATTGTTAAGCTTCAATTCTCAGCTGTCGTTTGATTTTTCTCTCTTTTTACTCATTTATAAGCATACTGATATTTCTGTCTGATCTCGAAAAGGTCAGAAAATGGAATTATCAGAAAAAAGTTTTAAATGTTGATGTACATGTTGGTAGGGTTAAGTTTTCTACCCTGTAACCTCATCCCCAATTCAGATAAATGCTAGGTTTTACATCCATTTTAGGTGTGAAGGAAAATATAAAAATGTGGATTGTAGTGACACAAGATTGATTAATCAGCAGGGTTTTTTTTGTTTTTTAATGAAGAAGATGCAGAGTGATTTATTTGTATGTAACATTGAAGTCTTTTCTTAATTGTTAATGATACTCATCATTCACATTAATTAGTTATTCAGTCTTTTAAAAAACACTTTTTCTATGAAAGCTGTCCTAACGTTGAGGATGTCTCTTTTCTTTCCTCTTTACGTAGGAAGCTTTTCTTGTAAGGGAAATAATTTTGGCTTAGATTTAGGCTACGTTCTGTTCTTCTAAAAGGCTTAGTTATCAAAGGTTCTTATGTGTCTTAAAGCAAACTACTTCCTAATCTATTGTTTAAAAAATTACCATCTTTTATTTAGAAGAGCACTACTTCAATGTGAATTGAAGGTATATAATGTTTTCAGTAAGGAGATTTGAGATGTTTCTTATTGCATAAGCTGTTGTGTTTTTAAATGCTAAAAGACATGCTGTGTTTTAAAATTTTCAATTGCAAATTTTTGGCAATAGAATTCACATGCTTGGTTTTCTTTAAAAGTACAGTTGATTTGACTAAGCTATCTGTAGGAAACTCTTAAATTGATTCATAAAACATGTAGTTATACAAAGAAAAATAGAACATCTTAGGAAACTCTTGGGGATTATTAATGCGTTTTGCCCTGATAATCATCATGGCATTGTTTTAATCTTCCTTACTATAAAAAAAAAAGGCATGGCACAAAACTTATTTTCCATTTACTGTGAACTTTCGTTAAACCCTAGAAAATCTGGGATATAGAGTATAAGTAGTTACTCTTAAATCATTAAAGGTGATTTTAATGCCTTAACTTTTAAAGTACTTTATGACATAAAGCATCTTCACATATTTTTAATTTGGGCCCCAAACCTTATGGAGGTAGGCAAGGTAATGATGATGCAGCTCTTTAATATAGAATGAAATGATTATTTTTATGCCAGTGTGTGACTGGGAGATACAATCAGTAGTCTGTGTCCTAACAAGAAAGTATAATACTTTATACAGGATATTTTGTTAATATTTGAAAATTTTATACCTTATGGCATTAGGTTAGCACTGGGAACTATGATTACCCAGAACAAAGCTTCTTCCAAATAAATTGAAACAATGTTTCTTTTAAACCATCATTGAATTAGTCTATTGTTTCCAAACAGCAGCCCTGGTATAACTAAAATTGGTTGCTTTCTCTTCTCTATATGTTACATGACTCTAGCTAAACATTTGCTATGACCAGTCACCCTGAGTGATTAGCAAATAATCAACATATTGAAACCACAACTTGTTTGAATACTGATTTTCTGACTTTAGGTAGAAAAATATTAAATGCCACTAATAACTTGAATTCCTTTTAGATTAAAAAAAAATTATAAACTGCAATTTGACTTTTTAAAATGCCACCTGAAAGTATTTTTCTCAGAATTCTTAAAAAAAAAAGATCACTTTATTCTCTGGGTATGGGAAGAGGCAGTTCCTTCCTTCCACCACAACATTGAGTTATTACATAAAATTCTAAAATTATGAATATTATGATTGAGCTTAGTAAAGTGTTTTCTTTTTAATTTCATTTATAGTAAAACAGAAATCTTATTGATTCTCAAATCCATTCTTTAAGTAAAACAAATTAGCCATTCTAACTTAATGTGCTTTTAAAAATACTGAAATTCGGTATGTTTAGCATAAACTTATTGACAGAGGCACATTTCTGCATTATTTGATTTTCAGCCTTGTTTCACTTAAGCATTAATTTCAGAGATAGAGAACAGAAATAGTTTTAGGTGTTATTAGAGCTTTTATTGGGATTATGTTGAAATTTTACTGTTAAAAAATTGTTCATATCCTGAAAGGAGGGATTACTGTAGAAAATGCAGGATGAACTGATAAATTCAGTCTTAGGGACAGTGTAGGGCTCTGTTGATTGGCAGTTAATGAAGTTACTAAAATTTGTGTAGATTTTAACGTCTCAATAATCACATCTGTATCTAATCAAGTAATGAAATTGAAGACCCGTGCAAATACAGGATGAGTAAAGCAAATTCTAACATCATGTTGAATGTTTTCTCAGAAAAAGAAGAAGAAATAGAAGAGATTTTGTTTTGACTACAATTAACGTCCCCGCCCCCCCACCACCCCCACCACCCCCACCACCCCCACCACCCCCACCACCACCCCCACCACCACCACCACCATGGATACTTTCTTCCTACCTTTTTTCTTTTTCTTTCAAAGATTCTGGCAATGGATATTTCCATGTTTTTTAAGCTTAATATTTCTGGTACTCATTATGCAAAGTGATTTTTGAAAGTTAAAGGAAATTTACTTTTAAATATATATTCATTTATTTTTAGCTTTATGACCATAATCTTATTTTTTAAATCTGTAACTTGTTATGGCTATATGATTAGTAAAAGAAAAGCTTTTAAAGCACACTGTGTATTCAGGTGTGTCATTTTAGTGTGGAATGACTAATACAGAAATATGTGACTAGCATGTGGTCAGATTTTATTGAAATTACTTCTTATGATGTTTCTACGGCTATTTCCCTTATATTTTAATAATTGGTAACATAATTCATATACTATTTTGGTTTTGTGTATTTGTGTTACAGATATTTTAGTCTGACCACTTTCGCTATATGATTGAACATTTACACATTTTATGAAAGACTTATATACCTTGCATAAATGTAGGTTAAATGCAAATTGTACTAATAGTGAAATGAATATGTGGGTAGAGATTACTTTGGGGGCCTTTTGAGATTTAGTGAAGGAAAGATTGGATCAAAAGGGTTTACTTTAATGTGACTGCCTAATGTGAAAGTCGGAACATCTGCATTAATTGGTTAGTTACATAAATCTTAGTCCACTCTGGCCTGCAGATGATTGAAATAGCCAAGGAAATCTTAATTTGCATTAAGTTTAGACTAGGTCTGGGGCATAGTTCTTAAAGCATACTCTTTTTTACTTTAAAGATCATACCTAATTTTAATTAGCTGTGGGTTCTCATTATGTACTACTACTGATGTGAGCAAATTAAATAAGCAAAATAGGTTTGTGCTAAATAGTATTTACCCTTCTGAGGTAAATACTGGTAGTATTTTCATCAAGAGTAATTGTGTAATACAGTATTTACAGGTATTTGCCAAAGTAATGGTCACTTGTTTTCATATTTCTGAGTCATGGAAAATATACATTGGTGAATCCTATTGCATAAAGAGTTTTCAAGAAATATTTTGTTGAATTAAGCTATAAAAAAATCAATTACTTATTGACCTTTACAGAGGATTTTTAACAGCCCATGCTCTCCTTATGTCTGCAGCTTCAGAGAGCTCTAATATTCTTCTGGCGTATTTTGTTAATACTTGGGTTTTGTATTTTTCAAGTAAATAAAATATTCCTATGGAGAACTTCCATTTTAAAAATGAGAAGGTCTACTAAGTGTTCCCTTCCGTTTTGAATTATGTGTGATTATTTCTGTGCTAAACTAGATTAGGGTGTGACTTGCAATGGTGATTGTTGTTCATTTTACATATTAAGAAAGAAATACAATTTTATCACAGTTCAAAATGAGTTGTAGACAGTGGTTTTAACTCCCAAACATCTAATTTTGACAGGTGGTTTTCTTTATTCCTCAATACCATCCTAAATGTCTCTAAATACAGAATTTCCAGTGGAGTTTGTGAATTGGGGGTGGAGGGTAAAGAGGGAAGAGCAACAGAGATGTGGAATGATATAGATAAATTTAGGAACATCAAGATCAGTTCTGAAAACTAAGACTTTGGATCAACTATCATGAATTAGAGATTTAAGAAGAGAGAAATTTAGGACTATATATACAAGGAAATGCATCAATCAGGATTACAATTTAGTTTCTTGAGGTAGAAATCTAAAACTAATGGCAATATAACCCTAATTGTTGAGGTATGTTGTTTCTTATGCTTTATTACCAAAAAAGAATAAAATGCACATTTTACTTTTAGATTATTTTAGCTAAGATTA